TAGCATTGTTGGGGAAAGTTACTTTTAAAAGTAATTCATTACAATATTGCGTTACTCCCTAAAAAAGTAACTAGTTACGTTACTTAGTTACTTTTTATGGAAAGTAATGCGTTATATTACTTTTGCGTTACTTTCGCGTTACTTTTTAAATATGAGCAGGGTTTGATTGTTTTTAATATAAGAAGTTCTATTTATAGCAAATATAAAAGCCCTTTCACACAAAAAAGTGTAATGAATAAACCTCAGGCTGAAGCAAAAGTAAATTCACATCTGTACAGTAGAACGCAGGAGAAGAAACACTCTTCAGCAATAAAAAAACAAACCACAATTGTTAGTTTCTCTAAAGTCATTTTTGCTTATTAGTATGGTTGAACTGGATCATCAAAGGTCAGCAGCAAATATATTGGTTAATAAAATGGGATTAGATACATTTGTGTTTTTTAACATACACAACGCATCTGTACTCCCGATTTCTCCCAATATGGGGATAGGAGAGCTGTCAGTTAATAAATGGGAAACAAAGTAACTGGCATTACTTTTTTGAGAAAGTAACTCAGAAATTTTCTTGTAAATTAAAAAAGTAATGCGTTACTTTTTACTAGTATCTGTACTCCCGATTTCTCCCAATATGGGGATAGGAGAGCTGTCAGTTAATAAATGGGAAACAAAGTAACTGGCATTACTTTTTTGAGAAAGTAACTCAGATATTTTCTTGTAAATTAAAAAAGTAATGCGTTACTTTTTACTAGTTACTTGAAAAAAGTAATCTGATTACGTAACTCGCATTACTTGTAATTAGTTACCCCCAACACTGGAGAAAAGTGTCAAATCGATTGAGAAAAACTGTAAAAGTATATTTCTACTTCACTAGTACTTCAGTGCAATTGCAAAAGTATACTAAATACCACTGATATTTAAATTGATTTTTAGTGCATTGAAAAAGTATACTATTACAAAAATATAGAGAGGACTTTGCTAGTAGCACATTTGGGGAGACTGTACTTTCAACTATTTCATTACTAATATACTTTAAATAAAATCAATTTAATTTTTTAATTTTTAATTTCTTTCTTTCTTTCTTTTTTTGTTTCTACAGCACTTGTACATTTGTTGTTTTTAAATGATTACTATAAACAAATTTTCATTTGCTGACATTATGGTCAGGTCCAGTATGGTTTGTACTTTAATACCTTAATCTTAAGTCCCACTTTCTTTTCTCTTTTTTTTGTCTCAACAGGGCTTATAAAACCATTGAGGATGAGGACCTCAGATTTCCTTTGATATATGGAGAAGGAAAAAAGGTAACACTGGTGAGAGAATCGGAGGACAAATTGAAGCAAAAAGAGCAAATCAAAAGGCAACTCTGGTCAGGCACCGCCACAAGACATGGCACTGGAACAGAAGTGTCAAGGCAAAGAGAAATTAACAATGGTATAGACAACAAGAGGAAAGAAAAGTAAGATTTATTTAATAGATGAAAAAACAAGGAAAGAATTAGGCAAGATGAAAAAGGATAATGACAGGATAAGAGAGTCTCAACTACATCACCTTGTTATTGAAGGAATGCTACTATGCATAGAGCTGTACATACAGTACTATCATGAAATATCACTTATCTGACACTCAAAGTGGATACCACTCCTGTTTACTGGAGGGGTGCCCTCCAATTGCAAAGCATTATAAATTTTTTAAAGGGGTGGTTGATTGTGATTTCACTTCCTTAACGTTAGTTAGTGTGTAATGTGGCTGTTTGAGCATAAACAATATCTGCAAAGTTACGATGCTGAAAGTTCAATGCAAATGGAGATATCATCTTTTAAAATGATGGCAGTTTAATGCCTACAAAAACGTGTGGAGGGCTTTCAGCCCTCCTTGTGTGAAGACCAACGAGACCTGCGACTTTACCTGTGTGACTACACTGAGCAACGAAACCGGCAACGCACTTAAGTATTATTTTTTGACGTCACAAACCCAGGAACATACAACAAGGGGGGCGAGGTCATGCTGCGCTTCTTTGGAGAAGAGTAAGAGTTGTTGCCATGCCGTCAAAACTAGGCACGAAAAAAACTATTTATATATGAATCGCGATTCTGTCTTCTAATGATTCTAATGGATTCACAAGTTTCAAAATCAGTGTTCTAAAGCAGTGATTTTTAATCCTGTCCCTCGCATCCCCTTCTCTGCACACGCTCTTCTCTGCATCTCTCTCTCGCTCTCTCTCTCTCTCTCTCTTTCACATCATCAGCACGTCACAGCTCCATCAGTGAACTATGTTCCAATTATACACTTTATGTGTATAGACAGACAGATATTTTTCACATAGCTGAAAAGCGATTATTCAACAGAAGAGACGGACGGCAGCGCATGAGTGTTTTGCTTAATACTTGTTTGTAGATCTGTTGTTTAAATTATTACTTGCTGTTAGCAAGGAATATTTTGTTTTCTACCTATTTCTACTTTGTATTTTCGCTGTAGTTTGTATTTAAACATGCCCTCTAGACCTAATTCCCTCACACCTTCTCCAAGCAATCTCTCCTACACTCTTATCAGCACTCACACACATCATCAACACATCTCTCCTCACAGGCACCTTCCCCACTGCATTCAAGCAGGCTCAGGTAACCCCACTGCTCAAAAAACCTACATTAAACTTAATTTCTTCAAAACATTCTATTCTCTCCTCTGTCCCCCTCCACCACCTCCCAACACTTCTATAACAGCTGTTGATTTTGCCACATTCTTCACAGACAAAACTAGAACAATCAGTAATCAATTCTCAGCCCCACACACACAGGACCTCAAAACAACCACACCCACTGCTAAAACTCCCATCTTCTCCTTCTGTCCCGGGTCAAAATCACTTTTCAGAACATTTTCATTCACTGTTCCTGGCTGGTGGACTGATCTTCCGACCCCTATCCGGTATGCTGAAATGCTGAAAGTGTTAAACACGGGCGCGCATGCAGTGGCCGCGCTGTATTAAAGCTTTAATCAGGATAAAACCGTATATTAGAAGCAAACCGTTACAGTTATGGACTTTTTGTGTTTTTCTCTGTTTCAGTTCTCCTGCCTTGATTTTTTCCTTTGACCCAGTTTTCCTTAGTTGTCTTGATTGTGTCATTCTGTTCACCTGTGTATCGTTAATCATCTTGTTTGCTCCTTTCTTTTGCCTGTGTATATATTCCCTCAGTCTCTGTCTGGTCTTCGTCGTGGATTGATTTAAGTTTAGTGTGTGTGTTGGCGTACTCTCCTTGTGAATCTCCTGTCCTATGTGTTTGAAGTTGGAATTAAAGGACTATTATTTTTACTCCGTCAATCTCTATAGCCACATTCTGTAACAGAACCCATGACCGAAAAGTTTTTGCAACATTCTTCTTTTATTTATTTATTTTTCCCCATGGATTTACCTTCTGTAAAGCTTCTCTGCCTGGAACAAGAGGATCACTCCCTCAAGGTCCATACAAGGGATTTTCTTCACCTCGCTAACCAGACTCATTACCCGGACAGCTGCCTGTGCACCTTTTACTTCATCGAACTGAACAACTCTACACCTCACGTGCCTGAGGGAGTACTGGTGGAGATTGAGGGCTTGGAGGGAAGCTTTTTTTTTAGCTGCAGCTGGTTACTGGACTATTTTATGAGGATCTTATGGACATTTTCAAATAGACTCAATAGATTGGTTTGGGGAGGTAATACCCCGTGTCTTTGCTGGTTCCGTCCAGCTCTCCTGTGTCTCCTGAGCTCCCTGTGACTCTCGTGTTCCCTCCCAGTCTCTCTCTCCCGCCTCCAGCCTTTGAGTCCCGGACTGCACCTCGGTCCTTCGACCCATCGGCTCCACCTTGGCTCCTAGCTCACTTGTCTCCACCGTGGCCCCTCATCCCACCGGCTCCACCGGGCTCCTTCTTCCCTCCGGCTCCGCCTTGGTCAGTCGTCGACCATCCGCCACTTCGGGACTCCACTCCTTCGGCTTCGCCTCGTCACTCCGTCCCTCTGGCTCTGTCAGGATCCTCCTTCCCGCCGGCTCCACCTTCGTCCTCAGTCGCTCTGGCTCCACCGCGGTCTTCTGGATCCCCGCCTCCGCCTCTTGTCACTTCCATGACAAGTCTCTCTATCTGAGCAATAATGAGAAACAGCTCTTTGTACTCACCTGTTCCTGAGAATTGGACCCCCATTACAATGAAGTATGCATATGGATTGTTATTAAAGAGTTGTATTAATATTATGAGAGATTTTTTTTTAGTTAGAAACTTGTATGCAGTGCCGATATTAGACTTCTGGGGCCCTATGCAAAACTGTGTCGGTAGCGGGGGGGTTTTGGAGTGGGGTATGAGTGAACGGTATGAACGAATGAATGAAACGCATTTGAAAAAGCTTGAGAAATAGTGTCTCTTCCAGTACGCTTTCAACTAGTTTTTTTTTAGTCTCGAGCATGACTGTACGACATTCACATTACATGATTTGACTGATTTTTACGTAGAAAGGGCGACAGCGCACCGCATTAAAAGAACGGAGTGTCTATTTACACTGTGCAAATAGCCCGCCTTGTTGGCAGAGGCTATTTACACTAACTTCACCCACAAACGTATGATAAGGATGGTCAATACTATAAAAGACGGCCAACAATTGTCAGCTACAGTGGCGTAGATGGTAAAGCGTGTACCATAGTCTTTTTGACACGATCGACCCAGGTTTGAATCTGCCTTTTACCGAACTCTTTTTTTTCTCCCTTTTCAAATCTCATATCACATCGGAAAGACATTGGAAATCCTACTATTTTAACATAGTGTAAATAGAATCCATAGTTATTGGTACTTAGTGTAAATAGCATCTATCACTATTTGCACTTAGTGTAAACAGCATCTATCGCTAATAAAATATGCTATTTTCACTTAGTGTAAATAGCCTCTATCGCTGTTTACGCTTAGTGCAAATAGCCGCTGCCAAGAAATGATCATTCATGTTTTCATAACCGCTGGCCAAATTCAAAAACTAAACTAAAATTAAATCATCTTTGAGAGCAAGGGGGCCCCCTGGTGTTTCGTTGGCCCTACGTAGCTTGCGTATTTTGTGTATAGGGAGGAGCCTGTTTTCTCCCAAGGTTTTTTTCTTCGCTGTCGCCTCTGGCTTGCTTAGTTGGGGACACTTAATTTCCAGCGATATCATCGACTTGATTGCACAGATACTATTTAAACTGAACTGAGCTGGATGATGACATCACTGAATTCAATGATGAACTGCCTTTAACTGAAAATTGAGTGTTTACTACTGTCATTTTGCATTAATGACACACTATTTTCTTAATGCTGTACACTTGCTTTGACACAATCTGTATTGTTAAAAGCGCTATATAAATAAAGGTGAAAGGTGCTTTGGTCTTTGGTAAACAAAATAAGATCTGTGCCTATGAATGAAAGAGTTTGTTAAAGCAAAGGACCTATGTTTTTACAAAGAGAAACATGATTTAGATGTAGTAAACATGGGACAGGATAGTAAGCATGTGGCAATTGATAATAAGAAAGATGGATGTAGCAGTCAACAGCACTTTGGTGTCAATGGGTCTTTCTAGGGATATTGGGGCTGGTAAATGTGCTCTTACCATAGTTCCTGTTCAGTTATGGATGCATAATATCAACAAGATTGTTTTAACAAATGCCTCCTTGGATGCTCAGCCAGTTTCTGTACAAAAACATTAAAGGAACATATTGGAATCAGAGGAAAAAAAGAAAGAATCCTACTAAAAATATTTAACCATGAAACTGCTTTTAAAAGTTTTAAGATCTGGTGTAGAGGTATCAGGGCTTAACGAAGACACATTTGTATGTTTGCCTGAGGTATACATGCATAAATCAATGCTGGTTGATACACATAATGTGCTCTTGCAGGAGAATTTTGAACAATGTTCATATACTGTATGATGACATTAAATGCTTGGTGTTAAAGCAGTACAATCAGGACTTTGCAGAACAATCTAGTGTAAAAACTGTCTGTAGAAGACCACCATTTCATGGAAATTATGGAAAAGACTTTTCCTAAAGTCAAACATTACTACGTACATTTGACATTCAGAAATGCAGATGTTGTAATGCCAAACAATTTAAATTCAACTTCTGAGAAAATAAAAAAATTCCCAAGAAAGTTGAAACCTTAAAGTGAACCAGTTTATCAAATCTTTTATGTTGATGGCTGTCTTATGTCTGTGCAGTCATCAAAGCAAGCTATTTCAGTTCAATTCAGTTCAATTTTATTTGTATAGCAATTTTCACGATACAAATCATTGCAAAGCAGCTTTACAGAAAATTTAAGTTTCTAC